AAAAAAGAAAAAAAAAAAAGAAATCAAATCAATCCCTTTCCTTCCCTCTCACCCTCCCTCCTCGATTTGGCATGATAATGTGTTCGAACACAGACACACACACACACACTGTTTCTGTACGAGACTGGGTCTTTGCATCTTCCCACAGAACACACACACACACACACACTCACACACTCTCTCTAACAGTAGATTGGACGAGACAGAAAGAGCAGATTAAGCTGGAAACCAAAACAGTAACATCAACATCAATGAGGCGTTTTACAGACGTTGCTTGTCCCTTCTCTAACAGCAGAGCAATGCAGCCTCCCAGCTCGTGGTCGGGGGTCAGTTTTTGTCCCACTAATGGTTAAGGTAAGGATACTGAGGAGGGACAAAACTGCTCCCGGATCAGTGCCAGGAGAGAAGCATCGTCAAAAATCAGAATGAACAAAGTGTCAAATAATTTCAGCGAGAGCGGAAAGGGAATCTAGACTATTCGAGCTCACCTGCCCCAGACCTTCTGTCAGTTTATGTGTTTCCTCTCCTGTAGTTAAGCTTAGAAGTTGGAGAGGGAGAGCTGATCCTGGATAAGCCAGCAAAGAGGCAAATGTAACCCTGTGTCCCTGAAAAGCCAGGAAGAACCAGCTGATCACAAGTCACATCCCCTTGCCTGAGTCACTACAGGCCAACAAGGAGCCTCGCTTCGTTTCAGTCAAGCTACAGACACGAGCATCTCCACGCCCACCAACGATCGCCGTGACAACCATGTGAGAACGGTAGTTGAATACTGATTCAGATACAAAAAACAATGAGCAGTGGTTGCTTTACTAGATTTATTTCCGTGCGGTCAGGAGCCAGAGAAGGCCGATGGAGGCGCCGGCCGCCGTTTCTACTTTTTAAACCGTTTTCAGCTACATTCTGGCTCAGTTCTGGCGGCGCTGCGACGTCACCGCTCCGAACGGCCGGCCTAGTGAACAGGGAGAGGTAAACCTGGAGAGAGGACGACAACCCCCCCCCCCTCCTTTTCTCTCCCTCCCTCACCGAGGGCAACAAAGCACCATCTTCTCAAGCCACAGCAAACACACACACCTTCCACTTCAGATGAGAACATTTACACACACACACACACACACACACACACACTTTACCCTGTCACAATACTCAGACGCACCTTCTCACTCAGACAGAGCTGAAAATCCAAACTACGCCACCGTCGTCACCAGCAAGCTGTCTGTCTGTCTGTCTGTCTGTCTGTGCATTGCTTTCCGCTCGCTCGGCCTTTAATCTAATCCACCCAAGTGCAAAATCCAAGGCTCCTCAGTTCAATTTGTCAAATTAAGTTAACTCAAAAAAACAAGTGACAAACATTGGTTCAGATGTTCCACTCGATAACAATTTGTTAAACAAGACAAAAACAAATACAAATAAGAGATATATATAGTTTAAGCAACGAGATCTGGAATTAAGTAAACTAATCTTTTGAATTATTTGGTAGAGAGCAGATCAATACTGGCACACACCACTGTCAAGTCTGGCTAATACTCAAGGTTCTGTCTCACTACGTATGCTTTAAAGTTGTTAAATATTCACGGCTAAACTGAAAAACACACCTAAAGCCAACGATTCGAGTACTTCTGAGATAAAACCTATATCGGAGGGGGAAAACACACACACACACACGCACACAACAGGCTTATCACAGAATAATTACACGATGAAGAAAAGAAATTAAGGTCCATGGCTTCGCTAATGCTGACTTTTCGTTCACACACTCTCTGAAGCGTTTGTCTTTCCCCGGATATTGTGCATCATAGTAACTAAACAATCACTGGTAGGTAGGTGAATCTATTATTCACGTGTGTATTTTTGTTGACAAACACCACAGGTGGATTTACATTCACGCTGTTCTCACACACAACCACGACCCTCCCCCTCCCTCCCTCCCTCCCTCCCACAACCCAAAAACCTTCCCCTCCAGCGGTAGAACTCACATCTGCCGGTACAGAGCATCCTAACACACACACACACACACACACACACGATTCATCAGGTCAGGAACTTCAGATGAGTACTCCCCTCCCCCCTCCCCTCCCCTGCCCTCCCCAC